ATGTCTGCGTGAACATCTCAAAATGGGCCACTGTCCCAGGGATTTGACCCCCCCGCCCCCTAGCGATTTTGCCCACTTCCAAAATCAGGAATTTCTCCAAAAAATGCAGTTTTATAGCATGTAGCAAGTACACATATTTGATATATAGTTCTAAAACTATTTGTTGTTGTACTCCCTCTGGCGATTGCCAATAATACTGCATTTTTGCAGCATACCTGATATTAGTATTATACCTTTTGTTAGTATTCATGATACCTTGTTTTGCTATTCATATGCTTAACGGGCATACGATGTATTTTTATGAAAATATATTAAATGACTGTACGTTTGGGGAAAAACGTAATGCATTACTATTTATGTAGGGCATCAGATGTATTTTTTATAAAGACATCATGACTGTAGGTAAACCTTACCTGAAACCTTACCCTGAAACCTTACCCTGAAACCCCGTCCCAGGGACAACTAACAGTCATATCATAGACACTGAATGTTTTTCAATAAACCTTCCATGTATGACTTGGCTAATGGCCACACAAAGAAGATTAACTGTTACACAGACTGAATTTTCATTTTGGTATGGAATGTACCAAATATGATGTTATACGTAACAAGCTATTTACATTTCTCGAATCAAGTACAATAGATTTCAAGAGTCTTGATGTTAGCGACAGATTTAAATATATCTTTACATGTAATGGTCCCCACAGCGCAAAAATATGTAGATATATAAAGGAATGCTTTGTTATGAGAAAAAATTCCGAAACTTGTGATTGACCAAGGAGCTTGGATTGACCCACTCGATTGTTACACTTTATCAAAGACTTGTGCTATCCCTTATTATTGGAATAATTATATTTCAGTCCATACCATGGTATGGATGAAATATATTGTGTTCTCTCATGTTTCTTCTCCGCCTCCTTCTCCTCCGCCTCCTTCTCCTCCTGCCAAACAGTCAAAGGGATTCAACTCAGCCATCATTCAGCCAAATGACTTGAAATTTGGCATGGAGGTAGAGTGGGCCAATACCCCCAGGCGTTTTTTTTTTCATTTTTTGATACATGCCTTTGAAAAATTTATGAAGGTTTTTTTTTGCATTTTTCGCCAAAAAATGGATTTTTGGATCCTGAGCCCTGGTTTTACAACCAAATGATATGACATTCGGTATAAGGGTACCTTAAACGTGTGTCTACAAAATAGCAGTCATGTATTTGGCATTCACCACTTCCAAATGACTCTTTTGGGGGACTTTAATGGCTATTTTCAGCAAAAAAAGGGCCAAAAGTGCTATACCCGTTCCATGTTCTATCTAAAGAATGACCGGTTCCATCCATGGAACACGTATTCCATTGCGGGTTACCTGGGGTCACATTGCACCTAAGTGGTGCGTAATGACCCACACATTCAATTTTATGTGCCTAAGACCTTCAAAATGTATCAAATCTCATAATTGTTAGTTTTTGCATACCTGTAATAAGATTAGTAAAGCTTTCGAGATTCAAAGTACTTGTTGTTGCATCTTTGTTCTCATATAGCTACTATTTAATTCATTTATTTGAGAACCTTTGCCAGTTTTGCACTGGGGTAAGTTTGGAATAGTCCACTTTTGCGTGGGAGGGAGATGGACTGAAATATGTTGTATTTGCTCCCAAGCAAATATCGGCCTTTCTAGTTATGATATAGATTTGTTAGGTTTTATTCGACATTAGGTCTTGTTTAATACATTTTATTGTCTGTTACTGTTATGTAGTTTGCCATACATTGTACCATGTGCAATTGTCGTGCAATAAAGTTCGTCTTCTGAAATTTATAAAAGACGGAGAAGGGATTTTGGACGTCTAGTGACACCTTTTCAGACTGCTGTATATATTACTAGTATATACAGTTAATGCTGTGTTTTCTGTCCCAGTATAAAAAGGATATACCATGTCTATTGAACACCTTCGGTGCCTTCTATACTTGCATCAGGCATATGTATATACACTTTAATTGAAAAGCTTACCGAGAAGTCACAGACACTAAATGCTTTTCAATAAAACATTTTGTGCACGACTTGTCTGATGGAGACACAAAGCAGATTAACTGTTACACATAACCAGGTGAAACCGGATTCCTCGGACCATTCTCCCAGTTAAAGTACGTGGGATTTGTCTATACACTATACAATACAATACTTCATTGTTATGATAGAAATCATTCCACATACCTGTTTGAACGTGCAATGGGAAATTTGTATGAAACAGTTGGTGTCAGTTAGTCCATGTTGATTTGATTATATGAATGACATCCTCTGGGAACCCCAAAACTGATGCGAGCGTGCGAATAAAAAAAGTTTGGCAAAAAAAAAAGTTGCTTTCATTATGAAATCTACATGGTCATGAAGGTTGAACAAGTGACATAAAGTAGGGTATGGCGAATAATCTACTATTCAAATTCATTTCTTCACTTTTTTATCATTTTCGTTTTATTTTGGCATTCTACGACATTAGTATCGTTTTCCAATATTTTTTTGTTCAACGTACGGTATATATTTGCTCATTTTGCAACTGTTTTGTACGATTTACAGTATGGTTGAAAACTTTTTTTGGAAACGGCCGAAAATTCATGCGCGCGCGGATGTCATCCATATAATCAAATCAACATGGCCTTATGTAGGTTAACCATCTCTTGGCCGAGCGCATTTTATGATCTTTTATTGATGAACACTATCTCGCAGACAAAGCGACGCGTGACCTAGTTTCACTTCCAAATACTTTGCCAACATTCAATAAAGTATAAAAACAACTCAGTCAAAAAAACTTCATTTCAACCTTTCATCATTTGGATGAAGAAGAAGCCACGAAGAAGATTAGCAGCTATACAGGATCTAGAGAAAATCTATTGCTTCTATTGTACACGCCTGCAAAGGCACGTTTCACCCGAGCGCACGTAGCATAGCCCGCCATTGTTGTTGTCCTTAGTGTAGGATTTCCGGGGTGAAAATCATTGTAAAAAATTCATCTATTCCTAATGCAACTATACAAATCATTCATAAGAAAACATGTATCTGTTCTTTATTTTCTCACTGAACAGCAAGGAAAGGTTGAATGTTCTGAATGTTTTCTTGTGACCTGTACTTAGCCTAGTGATGCAATAATGTAGCCTCTACCAGGCTTCGGGAGGCGGCTGGAAAGAGTAGAAATCGGCCAAAAAGAGAGATAACATGCCAGGTGAGTTTGTCTGCTGGGAGAGAACATTGTGCAGCAAAATGTTCTCTCCCAGCAGACAAACTCCCCCGGCATGTTATCTCTCTATTTGGCCGATTTCTACTCTTTCCAGCCGCCTCCCGAAGCCTGGTAGAGGCTAGTAAAATGTGCAATATAGGTCGTCTTTCATTTATTCATTATGCATAGATTAAAAGGTTTATTTTCGTCACCTCTTCCACTAAAAGGAGTAATCTGCACATAGAATTAGCGAGAGAGAAAAAAATCTCGCTTTGAAAAGTTGCGTGCGCGCGAAAATCCCGTCCTCTTCTCATCAATAGTTCATGACGCGTACCTATTTTCATTCAGAGTTTGTAAGGTTTAACGTTTGGTCCTTTGCTGGTTTTCTGAGTGGTACTGGAGGGTGTTGCTAACATAATGAAATGATGGCAACGCTTCTAGTAAAACTTTGCTTGTTCATACTTGCGCTCAACATAGCGCAAAACGGAGATGGGAGTCGAGTGTTGGCTGGTAAGAATTATATTGTTGTTGTCTAGTTCCTTTTATGTCTAGCGGTGGCATGTTTATTGCTGTTTTTGTTGCTGTTTGTGTATAAGAAAGCTAAGGGTTGCCTAGCTAGCCATCCACCCAACTGTGTGCATGTCGAACGTGTACAAAACCTACGGATATGACTCAAAGGCATACAATGCAAATTTGGGGAAGCAAAACTGGATTTCCAATGTGAATTGAATCAACCCTATCGACCCACATTTGTATGTATAAATCCAGTACGTAACCCAGTGCAGGTTAGGTGCAGGCAGACCACAGAAATACCTGCATAGCTACAATTTTACCTGCACAAAGGTGCATATGCACCCAATATTTCGAGCCCTGCTATGTATGTCTACCTACTTCTTGAATATGTACAGTTTATCCAACAAAGCACAAAATCGTTGGGACTGGAAATGTTCAAAAAGTAGACAAAAGTTTACATATAGCATTGCAGTTCATCTGAAGGTGCTTCCCAGTCTAAAACCTGTATCTGTATCGCCAATATCACTACCCTTCGGAGTATTACTGAAACCACTTCCAAAAATGTTTTTTCTTATTTTTCCTATTTTCCTATGTTGAGAAGTATTTTCTTGCCAGGGGGATTTTCAATAAAATTCAAGAAACATTCTTCAAAGATTTTGTATGTTGATTCTTACACAAAGAATTTTATTCTTGTTATTTCTTAAGAAAAGAAAATATTTCTACTATCATGCTCACCAACAATAATCTTAAGAATTTTTAGAATTTTACGAAAGTTTACAGTATTTTTTCCTGCTACAAGAAATTTATTTCTTGTGTACAGAATGGTTTTCGTGCTTCAAGAACAGTTAGCTATTAGTTCAAGAAATATTTTCCTGTGGACAGAATCGTTTTCTTGCTACAGAAAAAAAACTCAAGAAACACATGCATGTGTCTCTTGAATTTTCTTGCTACGGAGATTCTTTAATTTCTTGTTCAAAGAATAATTTTCTTGCTACGAGATACACTTTCTTTGTACAAGGAAAAGCAAGAAAAACAAGAAAAAACATTTTAGTACTTTCTGCCATTTCAGAAACATGTGGACTGTCTTCGTTTCGCCATGTTCCTCAGACGCGTTGCCCGGGATATGCCCTAGGACTAGGCTATCAAGGTGTCAGTCTCGAGTTCTGTGTCAATGCCTGCTGTGCAGACTCCAAGTGTCTGTCATTTAATTACAACATCCGCTCAGAATGCTATCTGAAAAGTAAAGTCTGTTCTCCTGAGGAGAAAAAGGCGGCAGACATCGGCAACATGTACGATCGACTGATCGGACCAGGTTTGTGCATTCACATCATTGTAACAGAACTTTATTGTAGTCATTGTGCAATGTATTACAACGACTATTGAACATAATAACAAAAATTAAAGGGTTACTAGACATCCAGTGTTAATACAATATACAATCAAGAAGGGCTAATCATGAGTTTTGGCATTTTTTTATATAACAAAAAATATTTTATGTCACATATGCTAGATATGCGTCAGATTATAATAAATCTACTCTTCCTAAATTCGGTCCATATCTGTATCCAAATAGCCGCTATAACCGTCCTTCGGCGTAATACACCAGCTTCGCTTCTGGCTATATTACACTGAACGACCTGTTACGCCTAGCCTTTGCACATTTTACTTTAAACATTGTTTAAAACTGTCTAGTGTGATAATGCCCCCACCGTACAAAATGCACTTGGAGGCAGTGAGTTCCAATCTACGATAGTTTAAGGAAAAACAGAATTTTTGAACACCTCATGCCTTGCTTGATAACTCCGGTACCTGATGGCATGACCTTTATTGTTCTTTTCTGACCTACTATTAGGTACAGTCTGACTTATCTTTTACGATTCTGTAATTGTCCTGTTAAATTGTCGTTGTGTTAAATAAATTGTACTCACTGTGCCTGGCAAGCAACCATTTAGTTTATTGAGTTGAATTTTAAAAAAAATTCAAATATGACATAGGTAATGACATACGTCTTGCCTTGAGTAGAAGTCAATATCGCTTTGGGGAAAGCGGCGTTCCAAATGAGCGACCAATTCACAACTCATTTCTGTTTGAAAACATTTCTGTTTGAAAACATTAACATGATAGTTCAAAATACTCGGTTGCTCATTTGCAACCCACAACCAAATTTTGTTCATCGCAAACTGTATCAGTGTTTGCATTTAAATCGATGTACTTACTTTTGGTAATTATATCTTACGTATTTCACATGCACGAAGTGTTCAATTCTGTATTCTGTACAGTTAGGTACATTTTTGTTACCACTGGGTACCAAGCTATTGTTTTGGGTATGTTTGTCTGTGCGTTTAGGAGATACATTTTCATACAAATTATTAGTATTCTTCAAAAACATTATATCTATTATATATCCAAATTTGGCTTGTATGCGATCATTACTTTTCCAGCGGCAGCGGTTTAAAGTCATGTAAAAAACACTGTGTTCTATGGCTACATTTGCCAAGACGCGGCCCCAAGGCAGCATCACAATGGAGAAATTAAAAAGTACCGTTTTTTAGGGTATCGCTTTTCTCAAATCAGTTAAAACGGAAGGGAACGCCTGCTCTGGTCCTCGGCTATGGATAGATGTGGTTTTATCGTCCTTTCCGTGCTGCATACTTGCGGAAAACCTCTTTTACTGCGCACTTACTTAGACTCTGGTCAGATTTAAACTCCGACCCGGAACTTTTTGTGGGTACAAATGTGTCGTTACAGTGGATTGTGGGGGATTTGGTTACCACAGATTGACCTTAAGGTCATGTGGGAAATCTAGATAGTCTCGTATCTCTTGTCGGAGGCTTGAGGGACGTGATGGCTCCACCCACACACTTAGTACTGGGGTAACACACTTAATAGCAAGTAAATTTTATGTCAACATCAGCACATTTGCCACGTGCACCGAGAGCCATATTTTCTTTTCTTTTCTACAAAGGTCCTGCTTGGCTGGAGCGATCCCCTGATTGGCCGATTGAGAGGACAGAAACGCCGTGGCCTGATGCTGCCGATGCGGACAAAGTTCTTGATGGTGATTATTATTCTCACTGGAACCCAAACGGTCAAGGCCCGTGGTACATCATCTTCGACCTTGTTGCGCCCTACACTCTCTCCAAGATCAGCATCACCAACAACGGTGATACAACCCACGACGTTTCGATGTTCCTGCTGGAAGCATCAGCCAGTTCTGACCCGTACAGCTGGAAAGACGTGGTGACAGTGAAAGAAGTGGCAGCTTCATCCGAGGTCCAGGAATTCGGAGGCTTCTCAGCCACGGGACGTTTCTGGAAGCTCAACATCACAAAAACGTACGGGACATGGCAGCCATGGTTACGTGAAGTAAACTTCTTTGGAGAAAGAGCAGGTAGGGGGATTTAAAGGTTTACCAATCCATGTTGAACTTGAAGCTACCTACATACCAAATATCAACAAGATCCATCTATAACTTCTCGTGTTATGACGTTCACCTACATACAGACTCCAGACACCAAAGCTGTTCCACCAAGCCCAAACCAAAAACATACCCCGTAAATAATTTCATCAGATTGGTAAACGACTGAATAGCAAAGTTCTTTCTATCACAACCATTTATTTTTCAAACCGACGTTTCGATGACCTTCTGTCATCTTCTTCAGGGCAATTCTGACTGGTTTACTGTTTAGATGTTACTTGGTGCATAGTGCACTGAAGGTTTTACATAGTTCATAGTGCTTTTTCTGTTTACAATACATTCCGGAACGTAGTGTAATTGTGACATACATACTAGGCATTGTTACATCATAGGGAAATATGCTGTTCCAAATGTAAAGTGTTTCTATATATAATATAAGATTTCTTAACTAACAATACTGAGCTATCACAGTTCCAAATAGAAATTATTAAAAGTCTTGTTACATATGTATTGTTAGGAATCATAATAGTTACAAACAATAAGAAAACCAATGTCAGTTATTAAGAATGTGATCCCAAACATGACTAAGTCGGCTTGAAAAATGAATGGTTGTGATAGAAAGAACTTTGCTATTCAAAAACATACCCTTCTGACAAAGTCAATGATCGGTATGACGGGATTTTTTAAAATCAAATGATTTTGACAAGAAATGTTATGATTCTAATTTAATATCGGGCTAATGTTTAAGTAATTTACTTAATACATCATTTTATATATCTGTTTCACCTGTCCATTGATTCATCATAGTATTCAATTTCAATATGTTATCTGTGCTTTGCGTGTTGTATGTATTATGTATTGTCTGGTGGCGACATGAATATAAGTGTATATTGAGTGTGTCGCCACCATGTCTTGGCATTATATGTTTCAATAAAAAAAAATACATCATTGCAGCTTGGCTCATTTCTCATCTCAGCAAATTCCACATGGTTATATTACCTATTGTATTTCAGGAGCTGACACGTGTGGACTGTCGACATTTCGCCACGTCCCGCAAACTGACTGTTACTCCCCGGGACTGGAGATAGCCATCCACCACGGTGTAACTCTACAGTTCTGTGCAGAGGCTTGCTGTGCAGCCTCCTCGTGCCTGTCCTTTCAGTACAACACCGGGTCCAGCTGCTACTTAAAAACGAAGCTCTGCTCTGATGAGGAGAAGACGAGTACAGCAAGTGGCAACATGTACGACTGGTTTCAAGTATCACCTACCATAGGTATGTGAAGTTTTGTCTTCATTTGACACGATGAATTTGGCCAAAAATAGCTATTTCTTGTGATTTTGACCCAAAACTAAAACAAAATACCCATTTTAAACAAAATAGCCTCAGACGGAAATAACCTGTATGGGGTTGGCTCTCATCTTGTAAAATATAACGATGGATGGTGTTACCGCCTGCGCGTAAAGTCATGAAGTAAACGGCTATTTTTTTAACCAAAATGTGTATTTTTAACCCAAAATCCAGGTGAAGAAAAACTGAAGTACCTTTTATTCAATGCGTGTCAAGTACTCCTAAAACTGTGTGAAGTTTCGTCGCGGTGCGACCAAGCTAACAAAAGTTACAGTCATATGTATAGAATAATACTTTCCCATAAGCCTAGGACGCCTTACCCGACCGAGTATTGTAATTTTAGAACAAGTGTAGAAGACTTCTACTCGGATGTATAGAGTTAGCCTCCTTCGCAGACTTTTGCGACGGCGGCGTCGCTTCCCGAAAAATCAACGCCGACGCCGCACAAGTCTGCAAAGGAGGCTATATAGAGTCAAACTTTATTGCACATCACTTGTCACGGCTACAATGTACGGCAAGATTTTCAGAGATGCAACATATCAAACTAGTTCTTACTCTAATATCTAATGCTTATGTAGGTATCCTTCAATTGTACTTATCAATGCTTGTCTAATACTACAATATTTTACAAACATGACATATACACGTACAAGGAACATGGCTTCTATGATAATGTACAGGAGATTCATAAAACTAAATGCACAACAGATACTACGCTATGTTGTGTGTCTGATTATAATAAAGATTCCTTACTGACCCCACAAAAAAGTAAAGGGACTTTTGTATGGTCTTCTACAACTAAAGATCTAACAAATATATGTATGCGATACAATAAAGGTTTAACTATTCTCTAACATGTGGTCTCTAAGATCGAAACATTCTTTAATGTATTTTCCTATTTGAACACTGTATTGGTTATCTCCCCTGAGAATGTATCTGAATTTATCTATAGGATCTAACGTAATGAAATAAATTGAACAAGCGGAAAGAAAGGTGAACAGCAATAGGCACTTATCACTGTATAGTGTACAATCCATTATGTAATGGTGCTCATTTTCAATCATGTTATATATCTCCTTTCTCACTCAGGAAGCGAAGGCCCTGACCACACCAGCAATGAGTCATTATATCGTCAGTATTATTATTATTATTATTATTATTATTATTATTATTATTATTATTATTATTATTATTATTATTATTATTATTATTATTATTATTATTATTATTATTATTATTATTATTATTATTATTATTATTATTATTATTATTTCAGGAAGCGAAAGTCCTGACCACACCAGCCATGAGTACACCAGCCTGGGTTGTTGGTCAGACAGTGCAGACCGCGCTATTCCAACACTCGAGGGGACAGATCCACGCCTGGATGGCAAGTATCGGAAACGTACCGACCCCATCGGCAAGTGTTACCAGGTAGCATATTCCCGTGGGTTCACCGTGTTTGCTGTGCAGGATAGTGGGCAGTGTTTCGGGTCTGCTGATGCCCACAACACCTACAACAAGCACGGACCGTCCATAAAATGCAAAGCGGACGGGGAAGGCGGGCCGTGGGCAATTGAAGTCTACCAGATCACAGGTCAGGTTCATCAATATGAACATCTCTTGTCTTCTGTGCCTATTTTTTTTCGGGGTTTCCAGATCAAGGAACCACATCGACAGTACGTGCATGCAATGCGCCTGCATGGCACTTCAACAGAACGTCTCGTTTAAGGTCTTACATGTATTCGCGTACTAGTATTTCAGGATGACATCCCATCTATAGAATTCTAATGTTGTGTTGGAAAGAAAGATACAGTCTACAACGGCAAACTTCAGATGCAACTTTGACCAAACGTCCAAAGAAAACTGGGGAAAATCAACGTAACTCGTAATGGTACATTAGCCGCAAAGCGTAAAGTCGTAAGCTCTGAGACTTAAACGTAATTCGTAATTTTGCCTAATTCGTTATCAATGACAACGAAAAGGACTTGAAATGGGATGAAAGAAACGACAAAACATGATGTCTGTGTCTCCGTATTTTCGCATGGACACCGTGACATTTTGTTTCGTATTTTCGTTGAATGTATCTTATCACTACACCCATGCAGACCCTCTTCCTCTAGTTGACGGCAGCTGGTCCGAGTGGACTTCCTGGTCCATCTGTGAGGTGGAGTGTGGACTCGGGAACCAGTCTCGCCGCCGTGTTTGTGACAGCCTCCGTCCGCAGGGTAGCGGAGCGAACTGTACCGGTCACTCCGGAGAGACGCAGGGCTGCGACACTGGACTGCCATGTCCGGGTAAGAGCAAAGTTTTTGTATCAACAACTGTTGGACTTACGAACAGTCTTCCGAGAAAGATTGTTATGATCATATGATCAGGGACAGACAGAGATTTGAATGCGAAGTTAATTCTTTCCTCAGCGCAAAACTCTAACTGCTTATACTGAGAGAGATCTGACATAAATTTTAAGAAGAGTTATTTCATATCTCGCATGTAGACTGTTGACGCATTTTTATAGTAAAACGTTGAACTTTATTCCAACACACAATTTCAAATTTTCATCGACCACTGTCGCCTTTATCAGGATAATGACCAATCACTTCACAACGTGATTTCGCGAGAGTTACGGTTTACAAGTACGTGACAGTGGTCGCTGAAAATTTGATCTCTGTAAATTGTGTGTTGGAAGAAAGTTCAACGTTTTACTATGATTACTACCAACACAAATGAACTTTTATGATGTTGACACAGTTGTCTGTGTATTTCCAGTTTCCGGGAACTGGTCACAGTGGACTTCCTGGTCCAGTTGTGACGTCACGTGTGGATTCGGTAACCAGTCGCGCGGCCGCAGCTGCGACAACCCCCCTCCCCAACATGGCGGCGCGAACTGTACCGGGAGTTCCGCTGAAGTCCGGACCTGCGACAGCGGAAAGCCATGTGCAGGTCAGTGTGTTGACTGTGTTCCTTGAGTGAGATTTCTGTAGTAAGAAATGATATCGTAATGTTTGATGCAAGGGAAACTCCGCACAGGAATTCTAGTACTGAACGGCTTTCTTTCCAGTGCTGAAGTTCCTGTGCGGAGTTTTCTTCCGCTCAGGGCCCCGAGTGCCGACGCCATTTCCCCCGCGAGTTCCGCATTGAACGGCCAGTGAGCTCGAGGACCCCCTTACTTCTGTTGTAACCATTGACTGTCAGACGTCTTCAAAAACAGATTTTGACATTTTTTTTCAGTCTCCGGGAACTGGTCTCTGTGGACTTCCTGGTCCAGTTGTGACGTCACGTGTGGAGTCGGTAACCAGTCGCGCGGCCGCAGCTGCGACAACCCCCCTCCCCAACATGGCGGCGCGAACTGTACCGGAAGTTCCTCTGAAGTCCGGACCTGCGACAGTAGGCTTCCATGTGCAGGTTAGTGTGTTCCTTCATTCAGAAGCGAGATTTCCGTAGTAAGAAATGACATCGTAATGTTTGATGCAAGGGAAACTCCGCATAGGAATTCTAGTACTGAACGGCTTTTTCCAGTGCTTAGGTTCCTGTGCGGAGTTTTCTTCCGCTCAGGGCCCCGAGTGCCGACGCCATTTCCTCCGCGAGTTCCGCATTGGTCGGCCAGTGAGGACCCCCTTACTTCGGTTGTAACCCTTGCCTGCCAGACGTCTTTAAAAACAGATTTTGACATTTTTTTCAGTATCCGGGAACTGGTCTCACTGGACTTCCTGGTCCAGTTGTGACGTCACGTGTGGATTCGGCAACCAGTCGCGCAACCGCAGCTGCGACAACCCCCCTCCCCAACATGGCGGCGCGAACTGTACCGGGAGTTCCGCTGAAGTCCGGACCTGCGACAGCGGACAGCCGTGTGCGGGTCAGGCTAGTCTGTTACCTGTTTAGATGTAACTGTTTATCTGTGCATTGCATAGTACACACACACACACACGCATACATACTAGTATATGTATTTTACGAGGCCGAACCGTCTTCAGCCTGGGGGCGAACCATCTTCAGCCTGGGGTCTAACCATCTTCAGCCTGGGGCCGAACCGTCCTGGACTTGGGGCCGAAACGTCGGGGCCAAAGTGTCCTGATACCAGTGTGTTAGTCAATATAGGAGCCTGAATGTGGAGTTTAGAAGAGTATAGAGTTTGCAAACCCCTTGTTTTAGGTTTAATTGAGAACCCTTATTTAGGGTTAAGAAGAAACCCTAATTTAGGGTTAATTGAGAAATCCTAATTTAGGTTTAATTGGTAACAACGTTTGAAACTCTTCTCGAACATAGCAACAACACTCACCTCAGTTAACAAAATTTGCAAAGCGAATGCACAATGTTTACCTTCATGTGGTCTACTGCTCTGTTTATTCTTACCCATACACATCAAAATCCTAATAATAACTAGAAAGGCCAATATTTGCTTTGGAGCAAATACAGCGATGGGTTCACCACATTTTACCACATGGCAGGGAAAGAATGAGAAACACAAGGGAAAACAATGATTTACATTGATATAACTATAATATGAAGTAACATACAACTAAAACAACAGTTGGATAGCTATTCCCTACTTTATTGGTTAGGATTTTTAATTGCATAATGCAAACTGTTGATTTTCAAAATAAAAAAAAAAACGTTCATGCCCCGCATTCCAATGCTGGAGCAGAAAAGCTTGAAATACCTACCAAAACACTTGAATAAAGACATACTGTCAGTATGGAAATACTCTGTGCAGGTGTTAATCAAGTTAAATCCCAACAGCCAATCAGCAAGAAATGCTCTGTGCAGGTGGAAATGCTCAGTGTGCAGGTGTTAATCAAGTTAAATTCCAACAGCCAATCAGCAAGAAGTATAGAGGAAAGCTGCATGCCTATTGGTTGATGCCCTGCATTCCATTGTGATGACTCATGCCCAGACGTGGTAAACATGGCACACTAACACAGTAATACATTAGCTATAATACAGCCAAAAAACTCAAATAAAACCATTCTAAAAGCCTGTATCACAAACATTTAAAAAACGCCTAGGGGTATTTGCCCACTGTACCTCCATACCAAATTTCAGGACCTTAGGCCCTAAAATGAAGAAGCTGAATCCATTTAAAAAATGGCAGGAGGAGAAGGAGAAGGAGGAGGAGGAGGAGAAGAAACATCAGAAAAAGCAATATGGTTTCACCACACCACTTCGTGGTGTGGTGAACCCATAACTACAGATCTAGCTAGCATAGAATCAAACCTTGACGTTATATAGAAGCGACCATGGCCTAAATGATTGAAAGTCCCCGTTTTTATCCATTTACATCTTGTCTCAAAATTCTTTCACATTGTTCACTTTGTTAACATAAAATATTATATATCAAGATCGTCACATCAACAAGTTGCACTTTTACATAGAAATCCTTTGTATCGAGATATGTACAGCTCTGACTGCACAGATAGAATTACGACTAGGAAGGTAATAATATTTTCAAAGGAAATGCATATTGAGGTTTACCTTCACATGGTCAACTGATCTGTTTATTTATGCATGCTCGTTACATCATGCTCGGATGCCGTGGCCAGTGCTGCGGGTTGAACCTTCGTGGTTGGCGCGGCAGGCTGGTAATGAAACCCGGGGTGCTTGTCGGAGAGAATCCCCATGTGCCAGCAGGTTGGTTGAACATGGGCGGGCACCAAGGTCCACGGAGTTGGTTTGGTGTAGGAGGAATATGACGCCATGGAGTGGTAGGATTAGGAGGGTGGAGCTTTCGGGCCAGAGGTAGATGATGTCCAGTGACTGAGGAATCAGTTGACGTATATGTAGATAGTCGGCGTTGTTTCGAGGCACGTGTTAAGGACGACCAAGATACCGATGTGTGCGAGGGCTGTTGGGCAGGAGGTTTAGAGGGAGCGCCGATCACAGTGTCTCTGTATGTTGGAGTCTGAGAGTTTTTCACTGTGCTCGATGCAGGTTGGGTCTTCCTACCCGTGAACTGACCTAACCCCAAGAGAGGATCGGTTGCTCGCTTGATGTTGGCGGCCAGAACACGGATCCCGAATCTATTGATATGGTAACCGTCCGACGAGTAGAGAGCACTCTTGATTGTTCCAGAGTCGGCAAAGTTTGAATTGTCGATGGTGTGAACATAACTTGTTACATCTGCGACAACTTTCAGGAAAGAGTTCACGTCGTTTCCTACATCTTGAAGGGTAGGTGCATGATCTATTGGCAGGACAGAAGACATAACAATATTGCTGTTGGGGTATTTGTCGTGCGTGGTTTGAATGAGCTTACGGAAGCCTTCAGATACCGTCGTTGCGTCTGGTGTATCACGAATATCATAAGCGCCAACGTGAAACAAAATCACCTTCGGGCTGGGTAACTTTGAGCGCTGAATGAATTCAGTGGATTCTGTCAAATTAAAAACTAGCTCCTTTCTTACACTTTTGTTGGGGTACATGAAGTTTTCTTTTAGTGCCATTGTGTTCGAGTCGCCAAGAATGAGAATGTCTAGTGGCGTGTCTTTGTTTTCCTGATAGGTCTTGATTGTTTCGTCGGGCAATAACGTAACCACTAGTGTTCTGGTGTTTTTCAGAAGGTTCGTGTTTGGTGCCGGGGTCGCGTTCACTGGCTTTCTTCCATTCTCCATACTCGTATCGTCGTCGTAAGTCTTTCAGGCGAAACAAATTAAAACGGTAGAGATGTCCTTTCAGTATGCGTGCCGAACAGAAACAGTTGTGTGGTCCTACGCAGTTTCGCGATAGTTAATCGCCCTACATATGAACTTGTACATGTAGGATAAGTGGCGACTCTTGTCGAAAATTGATGCCTGAAACAAGAAACTATGGGTTACTATTATATAATGTGAGGCCTAGGCGTACATATATCTAGTTTTGGTCCCTCTAGTAATTAAGCACCAATACATTGTACTCCGGCCTCTTTGGCCGCAGGCAACATAAGCTGACCTGGTCTTAATGCCTCAGGGGCCCCACCATCAGGGCCAGGGCTTGTTTGTGGGGAAGCTTAAGGGACAAATATTAAAAAGAAGTCAAACGCAGTAATTTTTACTAGTAGTTTCTTAGTACTATTAGTAAGTAGTTATATTAGTAGTTCTATGAGTACTAATTGTCTATTTTTTATACCATATGTTTCTTCTGTCCCTGCAATTAGCCCTCGGGCATGAATGTGTAATAAAACAATTAACTCAATGAAATTGCTTCTGAAAAAAATGCTTAAAGAAACTTTGAAGAGGGTTTAAAATGTCGATGTGAGATAGAAAATTTAACGCCCTTACCAGCCATCGACCTCCAGAAATTAAGGTGCGGTGGGTGTTTTTTCTAGGGTCGGTTGGAAAACTGGAAACACAACATTTCTTCTCTAAGTCTAAAGAAACGAGGGCCAGGCTAGCATGGAAGGGCCCCGTGCGAGGGGTGGTGATTACGAAGTACGTTAAATCGTAATTTATGGATTATGTTTTAACGTTGCAAAAAGGTAACTGCCTACGCAGAATGAAAACGGCTAGTTACGTGTTACGGCTAATGCACTGATTACGAATTACGTTGATTTTGAGTGACTGATTTTGAGTGCTCTACCAGGCAGCCAGAACAAGGGTAAAGGCCAGTTTTTTTTTCAACAAACTAGAAAGAGAAAAAACTCTCCAGTTGGAAATTACCAGCATTTATCCCCACACACCAAGAAAAAGGCTGTTTTAAGTCGGTTTGAATTCACTCAGAATCGGCCTTCTGCGCCTGCTGGAAATGGTGACCTTTGCCCTACAGACACAAGGTACAGACAACTTGCTGGGAGAGGGGAGGGGCCAATGGTCCCTGAACGGATAGATAATAAAATCTCCGAGCAGATCTTTTTATCACTGCAATATAGTATCAATGTGGCAAAACCGTATCAAATTGGCCAAGCAGTATCCAATACAATTTAGATACACGGTTTCTTCACGCATAAAACAATATGCCAGTACAAAAAATAAAACGCCCGATAAATACACCTAAAATACAAAAAATAAGCTTTCAAAGTATCCTTTAGCGTACTACTGTACTCTCTACTCTAGGCCGAACAACATGCACCATAAGACAACTAAATAGTACGCTGCACAAGAAGAAAATCAAGGGCAAAACATGTGTCTGTGCAGCTTTCTTCAGAAACAGTCCAGCGCGACCTGTCACACTGTCCCTTAGTCTGATTAGTCTACTATTCTGACCAACGCAGCAGACTCACCTAAATCGTTGAATGTCTCAGGCGCGCAGCAATATCCTACATCTTCTACTCCAGAGATCGCCAGCCAACGACATTACCATCAATAGCAAACTCTCAGATACACTTCAAGTGTACATAAAAAAACTACTAGAAAAAGATACCTGTAAAACTAGTCACACCTACAATTGGTCAGGCCTATTACTGAGAGTTTGATCCCGTTTTAGCCAGGCTTCACGCACTGATAAATACACACAATGTATAATTAACTAGAAAGGCCGGCATTTGCTCTGGAGCAAATGCAGCAAATGGCTTCACCACATCCCCCGTACCGAAAATAGACCTGTCCCCTTCCGTCACACACATCCCTGTCGAATACTTAATTTAAAAAAATTCTCCCCTCTTTAAGAATGAATTATTTAGTGACCCTACATTATGTTATGGTCCAGTTAAACACACACACACACACACACACACACACACACACACACACAAGC